CCCGCCGCCCGCCAGCAGGAGAGGAGCGCGCCGCCGCCGCCGCCGCAGACCGAGCGATGGGCCCCGCCGGAGGCGGGAGGAGGTGAGCCAGCAGCCCCGCCGGGAGTCTGCCGCCAGCAGCGCCGGGCACACACCCCCCTTCCCCCGCGAGGGCGCAGAGCCCCCCTGCAGGGCCGGATCGGGGCCGCCTCCCGCCTCGGCCCTCTCGCAGACGCCCCGGGCGGGCCCCGCTTCGTGGAGCATGTGCAGAGCGCCGCTCTCGTCGCCGGGGTGGGCCTGCCGGGCGCAGGCGGTGCTGCTGCTGCTGCTGCGGGAGGGGGCGCTCCGGCGAGCCTGCCTGGCTGCGGGCCTGGGGGACGACGGGCGCATGGCTCTCTCGGCACAGCGCCCTCCTGGCGCCGCCGCCGCCGCCCGAGCAGGCCTCGCACAACCCAGGAGTCGCGCCCGGCTGCAAAGGGCAAGGCTGGCCGAGGCCGCGGAGACGCAGGAGACGGGCGCCTTGGTGCCCTGGCGCTGCCCCTCGCCCCTCGCCAGCCCGAGCCGGTGTCACCTGTGGCTTCGCCCGGAGGACCAAAGCAGGGCAGCGGTGCCAACTTCTCCTGGCTTGGAGAAAGGGCCAAGGCCAAGATGGCTCTAAGAGGGGGCGAGACGCGTTCGCGGAGGAGAGAGCTACCCCTGGCGGCCAAGGCTCCCTCTCAGCTGTGGAGTCCTGTGAGCAGAAATCCTACTTTATGAGCTCCGGGCATGAAAGTGGTGAGCGGGCCATTGGGCTGCTGCGTGAATTAGTTCGCTCTGGAGCCCCGTCCTTCCTGAGCCGAGGCAAAAACGCATAAGCCGGAGGCTCAGAAACTGTGAGCTAGCTCACACTGACTCAGCTTAGAGGGAGCACTGCTGGTGACTAAAGGGAACCTCCATGTTCAGAGGCAGTCCACCTCTGAGTCCCAGAGCCAGGAGGCAACCTCAGGGGAAGGCCTCGGCCCCTGTGCCCTTTTGTTGGCCACTCCCTGGGCCAGATGGACCCTGGCTGCTCTGACCCAGCAGGGCGCTTCCGAGGCTCTTCTTTTCATGCCGAATGCTGCAGCCAGGCCTTAAATAGCCAAGCTCTCCTTTAAAATAGGAGGGGGCCGAAGAACAGCTCTGATTCCGGGAGGGCGCTGGGCCTGGAACAGCCTGTGCCGCCTCTGTGAAAGTGAGCCCTCCCTTTGGCTGGCAGAGCAGCCACGCCTGCCGACTCCGCTGCAGGGGAGGGGAGGGAGGGAGAAGAGCCTCTACCCTGCTGTTTACAAACCAGGAAGTGCTGTTTCTGCCTTTGGGATCAGAGAGAGGGGGCAGAAGGGAGCGACGGGGATGATCAGGGGTCTGGAGACTGAGCCCTACCAGGAAAAGCTGGGGGCCCTGGGAATGTTTCGTTTGGAGAAGGGGAGACTGAGGGGGGGACAGGATTGCTCTCTTTAGATATTCGAAAGGCTGTCCTTTGGAGGAGGGCAAGGAGCTGTTCCGGTTGGCAGCAGAGGAGAGGACCCGAAGCAACGGGTTTAAGTTACAGGCAGAAAGGGTATTAGCTGGATATTAGGAAACACTTTTTCACGGTCAGAGTGGTTCAGAGGTGGGATCAGCTGCCTAGAGAGAGGTGGTGAGCTCCCCTTCACTGGCAGCTTTCCAGAAGAGGCTGGGTGGATATTGGTCAGAGATGCTTTAGGTTGGTCCTGCATTGGGCAGGGGGCTGGACTAGATGGTCTGGGTATGGCCCCTTCCAACTCTGTGATTCTATGAATGGTGCTCTGTGGAGTGGCAGATTTGGCTTGCAAAGCTAAGAGCAGAGTTTGCTTCCAAGGAGACAGCATAAGGAAAGGGGCCTGTTCCCTTTGCCCTTGGGGCCTGAAGCAAGGCCTGCCATCTGGCACGGAGGCCCCCTTCCGGCACAGAGAAAAGGGTAGCTTTCCTGTAGGGGGTGTGTGTGTGACATGACAGAGGTGGGGTACTCTTGTGCCAGCTGAGGCCGGGGATGTTCAAGGGGAGGTCACTGGCTTGCCCTCCATCAGCAGCTGTTGCCGTGGTCCCTAGAATGTCCCTGGAGCAGGGGACTGAAAAACCTCCCACGCCACACCAAAAGGGCCCATGGAGGGGAGAGTTTGGTCCCAAGACTTCCAGGTGACCCTGTAGCCGGCCCCGCACCTTAGGGGAGAGTGAGACCCACTGCAGGGCAGGCGAGGGCGCACGCTGCCAGCAGCCCTCTTCCTCCAGTTCATACAAACTGACTTTGAGCAAGAGTAATACAACCCCTCCTCCCCCCCAACTGTAACCTGAGAAGAGCTGTAGAAGGGGTTGCATATCAATAGTAGCCCTGCTTGCAAATTCTATTGGATGTAAAGAAGAGTTTAAATCTGGGAGGGGGGGGGCTTTCACAAAAGATGTGAAATCTACAGAATCTGCACCCTGAGCAGGTTTTGCAAATGAAATGTTTCCTGAGCTGAATCTCTGCTGCAGCCTGGGGGGGGGGGGGGAAACCTCAGTACCACCCAGGCCCCCCCCCCCGCTTGTTGTTGAGATTTCATCAAGCAAAGGTCAGAAACTCCCTCTTGTTTTAGAAACTAATAATTTCAGGGCACTGAGCTCTACACCCAAGGCAGATTCCATGGCTTTCAGGCTTTTCAGCATGGAATAGACCAGGAGACCAGAACATGGTGCCCGCTGGCACCTTTCCTGGCACCCAAGTGCTTTTAGACAGTGAGCGGAACCAGGTGGGTCTTTGGTTCGGCAGCAGCTGCAGCTCAGGAATCTTCACTGTAGTGAAGGTAAACTGTAGCAGCCACTGGCTGGCCGGCTCTGCCTCCCGCAGCGGTCATGGCGGTGCCCGCCACGTTGTGTCAGAACACTAAAGGGCTCAAAAGGGTTGGAGACCCCAGAATAAACACAGGGGACATACATGCTGCTTTCAACCTGTATCCCAAAAGATAGCCTAGACTGGCAAGGACTGCTTCGCCATAAAGCCTCTTGAGTCATGCTCCTGCACACCAAGAATTCACTGGGTTGCTCCTTGTCCGTTATGGAGGTGACTTTCTAAGGCCACTCGTGCATTCATTCCAGATTGTGTCAGTATCACAGGAGGTGGTAGTTCCGCTGTATTCTGCTATGGTCAGGCCTCACCTGGAGTCCTGTGTCCAGTTTTGGGCACCACATTTTAGGAAGGACGCTGACAAGCTCGAGCGTGTCCAGAAGAGGGCAACGCTCGAGCATGTCCAGAAGAGGGTGAGAGGGTTGGAATCCAAGTCTTACGAGGAAAGGCTGAAAGAGTTGGGTATGTTTGGCCTGGGAAAGAGAAGGCTTAGAGGGGACATGATTGCAGTCTTCAAGTATCTGAAGGGCTGTCCTGTAGAAGATGGAGCAGATCTATTCTCTCTTGCTCCGGATTGCAAGACTAGATCTAATGGGTGGAAATTACAAGGGAGTTGTTACCGGCTAAATATCAGGAGAAACTTCCTAACTGTCAGAGTGGTTGAGCAGTGGAACAGTACTCCTTCATTGGACGTTTTCAAGCGAAGGCTGGACAACCATCCTTCGGGTATTTTGAAGGGCTATCTTTTGGCTGTGCTCCCGCAGAGTGCAGGGGGTTGGACTAGATGACCTGCAAGGTCCCTTCCGACTGTAACACTCGTATGATTGATGATCTTTCTTTGCTGCCTTCCCTGCAGGAATTGGCCGGGCTCTGAGCACGGGCTACTGCCGACTTTGCCACGGGAAGTTTTCCTCACGGAGCCTGCGGAACGCTTTTGGGAAGGTGCCCACGGCGGGCGAGAGCTCTGAGAAGCAGCGGCGCCTGGACCAAGTCTTCTTCACGGATTTCCAGCGCCTGGTGGGCGTGGTGGTCCGGGAAGACCCCAGCCTTCCCCAGTTTGTCTGCAAGAAGTGCCATGCCCAGTTCTACAAGTGTCGCAGCCTCCTCCACACATTCATCCAGAAGGTGAACGTCTCGCCTGCTGGCCACGTCAAGGCCCGAGGAAAGGAGGTGGAAGGGCTGCTCTGCTCTCCTAAGTGAGTGGGCTGGGGGGGGGCCCTCTGTGCTGCGAGGGGTGGGGGAGTCCCCTCCTAGTTTCTCAACCGGGAGAGTTGGATCTGGTGGCTCTTTCAGTCTCTTGCTTTGCCACAACAGACTTCCCATGGAATGTGGGGGTGGGTCTGTTCCAGCTGGGAGACTGAAGCCCCCCCCCCCCCCAGCTTTTCCGTCGCTGAAAGCAGCCACGTCAGTTTCCTCAGATTGTGAAACTGCCGCTTCGAGATAAGAGCTTCATGCCATCCTTTGGAGGCCTCTGATTTGTGCTCCTTTGCGTTTTACGTGCAGGAACAGCATCCGCCCATCTCCGCTCACCGCTGAAGGAGCTCCCTCCGTGGGTAAGTCCTTTGGCCGCCTTGGGCTACTTCCTGCGTGGCACAGAACTCCTTCCCATCCACACTTCCCACCAAATTAAGCACTAGCACCCTCAGGTGGTAGTTACCTGTGTTCTACTTCGTATTTAAAAATAACCCAAAGTTTAATTTTGGGTATAAATAAACTTTTTAATTTATTTATTTATTTGATTTACAGGCTCAGGGCAGTTTACATCAACTAATATAATACAATTAAAACAATGCTAAAATGACAGTTTATTACCTTTAATACCTTTCAATTTATTGATCACTCATCCTGCACAGCTGCTGGCTCTGAGCAATTTACAGTTACACAAGTTTTCACACGGAACTAACAATGAATCGTAGGGTAAGGGAGGAGGACAACATATAATTCTTTAAATCGCACACTTTTGCAGCCGACAGGGATTTTGTTCAGCTGTACGCTTCAGGCGTGTTCTGGTCGGCATTCACTTTGGCTTGGCTAGATGGCGTCAGTTCTTCCAGGACTACTTTGAGTCGTAGTTTACACAGAATAATCATCATAAAATACCATGTAAAAACGGAGAGATCAGATGTCAAATCAAATCCAGGTGCATGCACACAAAAGCTTATACCCCGAATTAAACTTTGTTGGTCTTAAAGGTGTCCAGTCTGGACTCAAACTTTGTTCTGCTGCTTCAGACCAACACGGCTGCCCCCACCTGAATTTTTAAAAACATGTTTATTAGCACCCTGCCATTGGACCCAAATAAATAAATAGACGGTAACTGTGGCATTTTCTGAGAATGTCCTGTCAGACCTATTCTACGCATGAAAGCTGCCTTATCCTGAATCAGACCCTCAGGGCCAATCTTGTCTACTCAGACTGGCAGCAGGTCTCAGGCAGAAAGGGTGTATTTTGCATCACCTCCTGCTTGATCCTTTCTAACTGGAGATGCTACTGGGGATGGAACGTGTGACTTCCTGCATGCCAAGCAGAGGCTCTTCCACCACGCCACGGCCCCAACTGATTCCAATTGTACGGCTAGATGTAAAGCCTGTTTTGTAATGCATTCTTTGCTTTAAGGACATGGCTAGACACTACATTTCTAAAACCAATACCTCCGCAGACGGTTCTGGGCATAATGGCGATGGGGTGGAACAGCTGCTTTAGGCCGCAGGCATGCACACCTCTCTCTGTCTCTCTCTCCCCAGCAGACCTGATCACCTCCAGCCCTCAGTGCCTCCACAACTTGGTGATGTGGACGCACAGTCACGCGGAGAGCTGCCGGACCACGCCGAGCCTGCAGAGCGTGCTGTCCTCCGAGTACTGCGGGATCATCCGAGCCGTGTGGGGCTGTGGGGAGGGCCACGATTACGTCATGAGCACCGACTCGGACTGCAGCAGCCTGCTGGTGGACACCGCCTTGTCTGTGAAGCGGGACCTGCCCGGGGGCACCACAGCACACCTGGAGACGGGCAACGGGGTGGCTGTGGGCAGAGAGGCAGCCGCAGCTGCTGCAGCCGCCCCAGAACCCCTGCAGAGCCCGGCCAGGACAGGAGCCGCGCATCAGCCTGCAAACACCGGGACCACTTTGCCAGCGTTGAGCACCGAAAGCCCGTTGCCCGAGTGCCGGGATTTGCCTTCTTTGCACGCCGGAACTGGAGCTGCTCTGCAGGAGAAGAGTCTGCCTCAGCCAGTATGCCCACTCAATGGTAGTCCCGGTAAGAGGTTTTCTCGGAATGCCACACCTGGCAGCAAGTGTTTGTGTGTGTGTGGGGGGGGGGCTCGGTTACGTACCGTACCCTCTGGCTTCTGTGCATCCTCCTCCTTACCACCACCCGGCCACAGTGCCTTGCCCTACAGAAAGCGGGTGATGCCAGTCCAAGTCCCTTCGGAGTTTTCCCTTCTGCAGAGCTGAAGACCAAGCCCTGGGAGATGCAGACACCTCCTCTGCTTTTCCGAGGCTCTTTACTGTCACCTTCTCCACTTCACATCTGGGCACCCATTCTCTCCTTGTAACTAAGCAGGTTCTCCCCCAAATAAACCCGTTAGTTTGCCTGTGGCAGGAGCCGCCGTGCTCTTCTGTGACACGCCGTGTGCTCTCTGTTTCCATAGGACAGCTGAGCGAGAAGCTGGTTCCGCCTGCAGCGTCGGATGAGCGGGTAAAAGACGAGTTCAGTGACCTTTCTGAGGGGTGAGAGAAGAGTGGGTTTGACGCGTCCTCTTTGCAAGCATGAAAATGATTGTCAGAGGATCTCGTTCCTCACCTGTTTGCTTTGAAATGTTGATTACCTGCACTTTCAGCACAGAGGTTCCACAGGCACCTTAGCAAAACAAATCGAGACGTTCAACCAATGCTCCCTCTAAGCTGTGGAGTCTTGTGAGCAAAAATTCTACTTTATGAGCTACTGGCATTAAAGTTGTGAGCGAGCAGTTTGGCTGCTGCATAAATTAGTTTGCTCTGGAGCCATTTTTCCTGAGCTAAGAGAAAAATGTGTGAGCCGGAGGCTTAAAACTGTGAGCTAGCTCACACTAACTCAGCTTAGAGGGAACAGTTTTCAAACTGGGCCAAAGAGCAGTTGTAGTAGGATGGACAATTGATAGAAGCAGCAGCAACCAAGAAAAGCAGTAAACGGCAAACAGGGTGGTCAACAAAAGTGTGGGAGAAGAGCATTCGCGTAGTTTGGCACTAAGCAAATAGGTAGGAGGAGGAATTTCCGCCGTGAAGGCGCCCTAACAGAAAAGGCCCTGTCTCTGGCACCCGCCCATCTTTGCTCTGGTTCGCAACCACATTAATTGATGGGGTGAGCCAGCAATGAGGAAGGTTTGGTTGAGAGTAGTTGGCCTCTTCCTGTTTTAAGGACCATTTGACGATGATTTTCATTGCGCCTTGCCTTGCTTTTCTGAGACTGCATTTCCAAGCGAAACTGGGCCTGTGGCTTTAGACGCAAGAGGTGCTACCTCAGATGGCTCAAATATTTATTGGCATCCTGTATGAGTCTCAGCCAGAAGTCACATGCAAGCACTTCCTTCCGCAACCTACACACAGAGAGAGGCCGGTTGTATGTAGTTGCTGAGTGGGGAGGAAAGGGGACAGTCCCCTCCGTCACAGACTCCAGCTCCGAACGGGTTCTAGGTCAGTGCCTGACCTGCATGAAAGCCTGAAGGTACTCGTTGATGCACAGACCAGAACCCTGACTTCTCAACTGAGTGTCCACTTGCTTGGGCCGGCTAGCCAGTGATCCCAGAGCCCTCTCCGCAGGGACTCAGCAACACACAGCCACCCAATTGCCCCTGAAAGTAGTGGGTACACAGATGTAGCCAGGCCACATAAGAAATCGAGAACCAAAAGGGTGAGAAGAAAGTCTAATGAAGGGCCAATATTAAAAACCTAGTTAAAACTTATAATATACAAAAATACAAGAGAGCCAGTTTGGTGTCGTGGTTAAGTGCGCGGACTCTAATCTGGGAGAACCGGGTTTGATTCCCCACTCCTCCACTTGTACCTGCTGATGTGACCTTGGGTCAGTCACAAGCTCTGGCACAGCTGTCCTTGAGAAAGAGCAGTTTGTGTCAGAGTTCTCTCAGCCCCACCTACCTCACAGGGTGCCTGTTGTGGGGAGGGGAAGGGAAAGGAGTTTGTAAGCCGCTCTGAGACTCCAAGTGAAGGGCGGGGTATAAATCCAATCTCTTCTCTTCTTCTTCTTTATTAGAAAGACCGTTAAAAACATACATAAGGGCCAAATGAAAGCCTCGTTAAAAAGTATAGCCTAAACACAAGGGCCAATGCACATGACCTGACGCTTTCCTGCCCCATTGAGGCCTTCTTCAGAGGTCAAACAATATTGAGGTACACATACAATAAGTGAATATTGGATCAGGAAGAGAAAGGTTAAGCAGCAAGATCGAAAGACACATGACAGAGATGTTAGTGAGGCCTCAAAAGGTGAAAGCCATGTGTCTGGTGCCAAATGCACAGTTGCCGAATTAGAACATCTTCCAATTTAGGTCCAAAAAGCACCTGTGTGGCTATCAAAGTCAGAGCTAGAGTGTCCTCAAGCAAATAGCCTGGAGAAGAGGCACTCTGCCTTAGCCCGTGTATCATCACAGAGCTAACTGCCTGCCTAAAAGAAAGCACTAGATTTGCACGGCTGCTCTTACGGAACAAACGCCTGGAAACTTGGCAAGCCCCTGAATCCCGGCCAGATCGGCTCCAGTCTTCAAAGGTGAAATTGACTTCCCTGGCAGCAGCTGTTTATGGCTTCTGTGCTTGGATTTCTGTTGACAGCAGGTTCAAAAGCCAACAGCTGCAAGCCTCCTTCCCAGAAGTCTTTCCGAGTTTCCCTCATAAGAACATAAGAGACGCCAGTGTTGGATCAGGCCAAAGGCCCATCCAGTCCAACACTCTGTGTCACACAGTGGCCAGAAATACCAGTGCCATCAGGAGGTCCACCAGTGGGGCCAGGACATTAGAAGCCCTCCCACTGTTGCCCCCCCCCCCAAGTACCAAGAAGACAGAGCATCACTTGCCCCAGAGTCCCTATCTATACCTTGTGGCTAATAGCCACTGATGGACCTCTGCTCCATATGCTTATCTAATTCCCTTTTGAAGCCATCCATGCTTGTAGCCACCACCACTTCCTGTGGCAGTGAATTCCATGTGTGAATCACTCTTTGGGTGAAGAAGTACTTCCTTTTATCCGTTCTTACCCGACCGCTCAGCAATTTCATTGAGTGCCCACAAGGAGTTCTTGTATTGTGAGAAAGGGACCTCCTGACCTTCACTCCTAAAAACTTAAACCACTGATGAGGAGGGCAAAAAGTCAGTTTTTAAAATATTTGGAATGCCACTTCCTTTGCTTTGATGGCCCCATTCAGAGGGATCTTTCAGCCCCATAGTAAAGGGGTCCCTCTGCTGGGCCGTTCTCCATGGCAGAGCTACCTTCACCTTGGGTGGCTCCCTCTCAGTCCTCGTTTCCTAAAGTTGTCCAGGGAACAACCCCCCACTGCCTGTGGCTCAGCCTTTCAGGGGCGGTCGAGACACACTCCGTCTGCTGTCAAAATGCTTAAAGGAAGCTTCTGTCCCCCTCCTGCTTTAGTAAAGGAGGTCTTGCTTATTTTTCTCAGAGACTCCTCAAGTGAGGACGAAAACGAAAAGCGAGCACGGTCTTCGGATGACTCTTTTGAGCCTTACCCGGAAAAGAAGTAAGATTTTGTCCTTATTTCCCACTTCTCGGCAGATTCTCGGGGGAGTGTGTGCTTTCACTGCAGTAAGTGTGGGGGCACACACCCATGCTGGAGCCACAGTTTTCAGGAAGGGTGTCTGGAGAATTAGGCCACATGGAGGTGATGAGATCAAGTTCTAGGACTACGTAGTAGGCAAACTGAAAATGCACCAGCCTGCAGGTCCAGATGGCATACATACCTGCAGGTCCTTAAACTCCATTGTGGAAATGTGGACCTCATAGCCAGTATATTCCAGAGGGCTGGAAAATGGCAATTCTCTCTACAAGGGAGGCCTTCGAGGACCATGGTCATTTCTCACTATTAGCAAAAAGATCAGTGCTAGAACTCCTTTTTCCCCTCCAAGCATGATTGTGTTTATACCCTCGGCCAACAGGAAATAAAAGCGCTGGTATCCTTGGTTCCTTCCCCCTTTAGGATGTCCACCAACCGAAGGGCTGAGAGTAAAGAAGCCAAGGCCGCAGAAGAGCCAAAAACAAGGAAGAAGCCAGGACCCAAACCGGGCTGGAAGAAGAAGATCAAATGCGAAAGGTACCGTGCTGAGAACTCCCAGCAAGAAAGCGGGCCAGAGAGAATCTCGCGTTTGCTCACCGGCACCCTTTTCTTCTGTCTTCCAGGGAGGAGCTGCCAACAATTTACAAGTGTCCTTATCAGGGGTGCACGGCCGTGTATCGAGGGGCAGACGGCATGAAGGTGGGCCCAGAGCGGCTTCCTGTCCACAGGGCATTGCTGTGTGCCAGCAGCCGTTGGCCAGGGAGGGGCTTGGATTCCTGGAATTGGGCAGTTTCTGTGATTACAAAACTGATGACCGTCAAGCAGAGGTGGTTGGTGGTGTCTGTTGTACCGTAGGAGTCACGTGAACTTAATTTCAAAGGGCAGCCCTGTTGGCCTGCAGGAGAACAGCGAAATTCGAGTCCAGAAGCGCCTCAGAGACCAACAAGCTTTGGGGGGGCGTTTCAGCTTTCGAGAGTTAGTGTGGCCGTCGTCAGATCTTCGTGCATCTGGTGCTTCTTTGACTCGAAAGCTCCTACTCTGGCACTCTTGTTGGTCTCGAAGGTGCTGCAGGACATGAACTGAAGCCAGCCGCATCAAAAAAGCCAGCCCAGTTAGCCATTCCCATCTCTTGGCTTCTCCACTTCGTGAGAACACACGGAGGCTGCAGGCTTCGTGAGAACAGACGGAGGCTGCAGGGAAAATTATTTATTTATTTATGTGCATTTGTATCCTGCCCATCCCGTAGATGAGCTCAGGGCGGGTTACAACAGTTCAATGAATACAATAAATTTTAAAACACATTAAAACATATAAAATCAATAGTCATGCTTGCGGTAGGGAGAATCTGGCCCATTGATGTAACTAGGTATGGCTGGTTATCAGTAGGTGGGAGACTGCAACCTTGGGGGGGGGGGGGGCAAGGGACCTCAACCAAAGGTCTGGCGGAACAGCTCCGTCTTGCAAGCCCTATGGAACCGAGTAAGATCCCGCAGGGCCCTGATCTCAATAGGGAGCAAGTTCCACTGGGTGGGGGCCAGGGCAGAAAAAGCCCTGGCCCTGGTCAAGGCTAGGCACAAGGCTTCCCCACAACAGACACCCTGTGGGGTAGGTGGGGCTGAGAGTGTTGCTCTTGAGAGAACACCTCTGCCAGAACTACGGCTTGCCCAAGGTCATCCAGCCAGGTGCCAGTGGAGAAGTGGGGAATCAAACCCGGTTCTCCCAGATTAGAGTCCGTGCACTTAACCACGACACCAAAACCACAACACCTCCTGGATCACCAGGAGGTGTTGACTATCAGAGTGTAACACTCTTCAAGGCATATATGGGAACAGGCAGTGTGAGAAAAGCAAGGTGGGAGGGAAGCACCGTGGCGGGGGGGGGCAGTTTGAGTAACCCTCTCTCTTCTGGTGCTCAGAAGCACATCAAGGAGCATCACGAGGAAGTCCGGGAAAGGCCGTGCCCCCACCCGGGTTGCAACAAGGTGTTCATGATTGACAGATACCTCCAGCGCCATGTGAAGCTCATCCACACAGGTATGTTCGGCTTGCAACGGAAGGGCGGTGGCATTTGCCTGAGAGGGCGACGACGATTCCGACCCAAATGGCACATCCCACATGAAAGGGGGGGGTTCCTGACGCTAGCATCTCCCCCCCCCCCCGAATTTTTTTTAAACGACTCTTGTCGCCATCCACAGGGCCCGTGGACAGAGTTCCTCCCACGGCCACGCTTACCCTGCCACCACGATCGTGATCCCTTCCTTCCACAACCACTCTCATGACTTTTCAACCCTGTTTACTCTTCTCGTTGCAGAAGTCCGGAACTATATCTGCGATGAATGCGGCCAGACATTCAAGCAGCGCAAGCACCTCTCAGTCCATCAGATGCGCCACTCTGGTGCAAAACCTCTCCAGTGAGTGCCCTTGGTGTTCTGCTAGGTTTCAATGGACTGTGGTGCTCCAGTCGAGTAGAAGATGCTGATACTTTAGGATTATGTAAAACCTGGCCTGGGATAAAAATGTGCTGGTCAGAAAAAGACCAGCTTGCTTCTGAAAGCATAACTGAGGACTTTTAAGTAAGAAGCAAAGTACACCTTTTCAGCCCTTGGCTTTCTGGATGCATGTGCGTGCACGTGAGAGATTAGAAACAGGGCAACTTGAGTCCACTCAGTGATCCTGCAGTCATCATGCTCAAGGTGCCCAGTGACTTGTGGCTTAGCAGTACTTGGCCACATGGCACTGCAGTGTCCAGCGCACTTCATTGGGGAATCTGGCCTGTCCTGCCAAGGCAGTGAGGGACTGGCATTCATAGCGCAAAGATTTTTTTGGGGGGGGATCAGTGACAGCATGATAGGGAAGACAGCTTCGGAAAGTCTGTGTGGGGGAAGCACCAATTAACAAGGAGCTACCAGGTCCCTTCTCCATACAGTAGATTGCATCTCTCCCCACAATCTCCAGAAATACTGATCTGGACAGCTGATGTTATCAAGGAGCCAGTCGGGTTAGGGTATGGTACCAAGGGCCACTCAGGATTTAGGGGAATAGACCCGCTAAATGTGCAACATTTGGAAGCATCATCCAGCTCCCCTGACGGAAAGTAAGAGCTGGGAGAGCAATGCATCGATTTAGGCAAAGCCAGTTCTCTGGTAACAGAAACAGGGATCCTGCAGTCTTGTCCCAAAGCCCGTTTTGTGCTTTCCCCCTCCAGGTGTGAAATCTGTGGCTTCCAGTGCCGTCAACGTGCATCTCTCAAATACCACATGACCAAACACAAAGCGGAGGCGGAGCTGGAGTTTGCTTGCGATCAGTGCGGGAAGCGCTTCGAGAAGGCCCACAACCTTAACGTCCACATGTCCATGGTGCACCCTCTGATCCAGACTCAGGACAAACTCAAGGCGGCAGAGCCCGAGCCGGAGGAGCTGCCGGATGACCTGGAGGCTGCCGACAGCCAGCCGGTGAAGTCAGAGCTCCATGCGCAGCAAGAGCCCACCTGAGAACGAGGGAGAGGGCAGGGAGAATGGATCCAGCCGGTGGGGGAGATTTCGGTGTACATTTTAATGGATTCTCTACAACGAACTTGGAAATCGCTTCCACGATCATGAAAAGCTTCCTGTCGCCGTGATTCTCTCTGTGCGCTTCTGTCTGACGCCACAGCAGTGTTGTGTGGAGTGACACACGCTTCTCTGAAGGGGGCCGGCGGTCCTGGTTTCCTTCGGTGCAGTGGGGCACGTCGGAGGTATCGCACACCTGTTGTAAAGGTGTGCGTCCGCAGACAACAAACAGATTCACTTCTGGCGGCTCTAACAATGGTAAAAGCAGTTTAAACCCGGGCGATTGGTTTTAAATTAACTTCCAAAGGCAATTTAGAAAAGACAGAACATTTGTAACCTAATTTTTATTGTAACAAAGTCATGGTTATGCTTGTAATAAATTATTTACACGGTACTTTGGCCAGACTGGGCCCTGGGAGGAGTAGTCCTGTGTCTTGCTGGCGTCCGCTCTCTGCTTTTGCCCAGACCTGACTTCAGCCTCCCCCGTCCCTCAGAAGAGAAGCAGCTCGTCATCAGACAAACTCCCCTCGACAGTGGGCTGCCAGCCGTTGGTGAGGGTGGCCTTCAGCTCAGGGTCCAGCTCTCCACAGAGGTCTAGTAACTAAGAGGCAAAAGAGAGGCTGGCGTTTAGAGAGAGGCCGAGCGCTGCTTGTTTAGAACAGAGTCCCCGACAGCTCCCTCCCTCCCGCAGCCAGACCGAGAGGCCACTGCCGGCTCACTGAGCTGCTGGCTTAGCAAGGATGAACTCTGAATGAGACACAGCCTGAGGGCTGCTAAGAGCATGTCCAGATGGGACCGGGAGGGCGGCTGCCATGACTGCAGGAAGGGAGGGTTGAGCACAGACAGAGCTGAAGAAGAGTCAGCTGGTGGGACAGAGACAGGCAGGGGCCCAAGTGCAGCCCCTGCCATTCCAGACAGAAGGGCGGGAAGCCACCTCTGCAGGAAGCTGTGCTCCCACAGTACAGCCGGAACCACCTGCGGACTCTTCTCTTGTGTTTGCCCCACGGTGGGGATCTTCCTCCTCCTACATTGGCCAGCTCGAGTTCTTCTTCATCTCTGAATAGATGCTGAACAGGGGCAGCTTGGTTTGCAGGGGGGTTCGGGCTGATCCACCCCACCCCCGCTCTCCCTCCGCTGCATTTGCATGCAGGACAAGCACCCCAGGTCCATCCTTCCCATCAGTGCAGGTGTTTTGAGCCAGCAGTCTGACGAAACAGTGACCAGGTGTGGCCACATACCTGATGGAGGTGGGAGAAGCTCCCAAGTGGACACTGCGGGATTGCCTGGACCAGGAACCGTCGTGCTGCTTGTATCACTGCTGATGGGTCCTCCTGAGGAAGACGAATGGGTCAGGGCCCCATTTACATGCGGGGGGCACAAGTACAGAGCCACATAAGAAGAAAAGGAACAGCGTGCTTACAGGCTCCTGGCCGTGCGCAAGTGGCTCTGCATGGTCCACCCTCACCGCTGCTGGGCCTTCCATAAACAGCTGCAACAACTGCGTGTACATGTCGACGGCCACAGACAGGAACATCGGCTCTCTGATGAGTCGTTCCGGGTGCAAGGTGAAGAGGAGGCTAGAGAAGAAAGCACAAGATGCAAACGGAATGGGAGGCGTTCAGGAGAGCCAAGCCGCCTCCCGCCTTCGGGACAATGGAAGAGGATGGCATGTTTCAAAGAAAGGAGGGGGGGGGCTTTGCAGACCTCGTTGCCCCAGAAACCTGTACAGGTAAATTAAGCACAAATGGCAGTTTTTATTTTGAAAAAAGGGTTAGGTGAGTACCCACCCAGAGGACAGTAACAGAGGCAGGAGAACAGGGAGAGCTAAGCTGGTCACAGCTCTGAACTCTCACGTGGTCTTTCTCCGATGGAAGGCAGGCTGCTGAGGGACTGTTTGCCAGACTCCAAAGGGCAGTTCTGGTCTTCCAAATGCAGCCTTTGAGACCAAGTCAGGATGACAAGTGGCAAGGATTGGGGGAAGGAGTGGGAGGTGTGGGGGTTGTGGCTTAGCAGTAGCGCACCAGCGTGGCATGTGGAAGGTCCCAGGTCAAAACCCTAGCATCTCCAATTAAAAAAAAGGATCGGGTTGTAGGCAGTGTTCCCTCTAAGCTGAGTGAGTGTGAGCTAGCTCACAGTTTTTTAGCCTCCGGCTCACACATTTTTGTCTTCGCTCAGGAAGGATGGGGCTCCAGAGCCAACTGATTTATGCAGTGGCCAAATCGCTCGCTCACGCCTTTAATGCCAGCAGCTCACCAAGTAGGACTTTTGCTCACCAGACTCCACAGCTTAGAGGGAGCCGTGGTTGTAGGTGATGTGAAAGACCCACTCCCAGTCTGAGTAGACAATACTGACCTTGCTAAACCGTGTGTGTGTGTGTGTGTGTGTGTGTGTCTGATTCAGGATAAGGCAGCTCCATGTGTTCAAGGTCATGACTAATGGTCGTCAGTCAAGCATCTGACATCAAAGTAGCAGTCCACTGAATACCAAAAAAAAAAAAAAAGAACTTGTGAAATTTACCTATAGAAGGCTACTGGCAGCTGCTTCCGGTGTTGATCTGACGCAGCACCATGCAGGAGTGGATCGAGGCTCTGCACTGCAGTGTTGGGGGGAGAGAAAGGGGGACAGGAGGTGAGCTTAGCTGAGCTCTGAGTTCCGCACTGAGCACCCGGAGTCCTAGAGGGAGACGTCTCTTACCCGTCTCTCCCGAGCGGAAGACCTCCAGCCAGCCTGAGCCTTGTTCCTCCAGCAGCCGGGCTACCTGAGAGCTCCAATCCAAGGCTCTGGGCACATCCACCCCTTCCTACAAGTGACGAAAGAAACACACACGCTCCCCTCTGAATGTCTGGTGACCACTAGGAACAATCACTTCCAGGCCGTGGGGAGCAGAAGAGGAAGAGATTGGATTTATAAGCCATCCTTCACTCAGAGTCTCAGAGCCGCTTACAAACTGCTTTCCCTCCCCCTCCCCACAACAGACACCCTGTGAGGTGGGTGGGGCTGAGAGAGCTCTTTCGAGGACTGCTCTTTCAAGGACAGCTCTTGTCAGAACTATGGCTTGCCCAAGGTCACCCAGCAGCTGCAAGTGGAG